ATACTTGAGCCTCACGATAATCATGCCAGCTGGGGAATATCAACCTCCCCAACCACACTTTTTAATAACAGATGAGGAAACTGAGGCCCAGGTCAGATGACTTGCCACACAGCTGAGCTGTGATGCCCGTTTTCAAATCCAGATGTATCTGACTTTAAAACCCAGGCTCCTTTCAATGTCTTAGTCCAGAAATTTCCCCCAGGAGGTATGTAAGTTAAACAATCAGGAAAGCAATGAAAGAAGGACAAATGCGAGGGGTAAAAATATTGAGTCACTCTAAATTTTTATGGAAAGTAAATCCCCATAAGCATAAAAAATTCTCACTTGAGAATATAAGAGTATGAGCTGCAGAGGAAAATGGCTCTCTGCCATGCTACAGCAGGCAACAAGCCTCTGCCACACGTCTGGGTGGCCTGGCTCTGCAAGGACGATTCAGAGCTGAAGCCTCAAGACTGATGTGGAGACCAGGACCCTCACATGCCACTTCAGCTAATGCAACAGGGTACAAGCACCTAAGAAAACAGTTGCAAAGTGTCTTAAAAAGGAAAATCTACAGAACCCAGCGAGTTCACTGTTAGATATTCACCCAGTTAAAAATGAAAGCGCCCATCTGCACAAGACAGGCACAACAATGTCCACAGCAGCTCTACAGCGACAGTTAAAATCTGGAAACGACCCTCAGTTGCGGAATTGTTGTGGGGAGAGGATGTCCTGAATGAACCCCACAAACTCAGGTTTTATGGACTCCACCCCAGGCCAAAGAGATACCAGGCACCAAGGACTGAAAATCATCACCGCCAAAGCAAAGATTGCTGGGAACTGAGGGTGGAGTTAAGCAGCCAAGCTTCGTGTGGAACCAGAGACACGTGGGCCTCGGGGAGTTGGTTTTTCAACAGCCTTCAGCGCTTGGGGTCCCAGCTCAGCAGAACTGATAAAATGCATTCACTAATCTCTCTCTCTTCCTGGATTATTCCTCTTTTCATTCCCCCTTTTTGTAAACAGACCCTTTTTAACCTGTTTGTGTGTGTCTGCAGTTGGGTCTCATGATAAGTTTTTTTTAAGCATGAGGGTGAGGACCCACACTCAGGCCAACCCATTTCACATCGGGGTTGCCCTGTAAAAGAATGAGAAAACAAACCATGGAGCCACACACCTTAGTCTGGTTGGGCTGCCATACAAAATACCAGAGCTCGGGAGACTTAAGAGCAGAATTCCCTTTTCTCAGAGTTCTGGAGGCTGGGAGCCGGATGAGGAGGCCAGCTTGGTGGAGTTCTGGCAAGAGTGCTCTTCCTGGCTTTCAGATGGCCACCTTCTGGCTGTGTCCTCACAGCCCTTCCTCGGTGCATGCACACGTGGAGAGGAGATACTCTTCTTACAAGGCCACCAGCCTTATGGGATTAGGAACCCACTGTTTCCATCTCATTTAACC